CTTTTAGGAAAATTTGAGCTGGGGTTCACGTGGGGATGCGTATATTTTGGACCTCAGAGACCTAATAACTTCGGGAACCTCATAAAAGAAACCTTCAGAGTTAGGCTTAACTGAATGTTTCCACATGACAAAGTATTTTCAAATTAAATTTCCTCTTGGTGGTTAGTGTTGAGTTAATTGCCTTTTTGCAAAATTCAACATCCTCAAATTATTCAAAGGGGGAGCTTTTTTTTTTTTTTCAGAAAATGAGACTGGCCTGGCGAAATAAGATTTCTGAGTGATCAGCAAAAGGCTTTTAGATGTTGACTGCCATTGCATAAGCTGATCTACGACATCTCCAAATCCACGACCTGCACAGCCGAGCCACAGCGGGGGTTCGGGAGCATCTACGCTCTGGGGACTTGTAACGACAAATATACTTGCCTCCATTCAGTGATTGCTTCGTTTCAGCCCTGAATGAACTTCAGTCTTGGAGCCTCAAGCTGCCAACCACGGGCACCTCCAGGAGGTGCTTCTGAGGGCTGGACGAGGTGGACTTGGGAGCAGTTTTCCAGGAGGGGTTGTCACCCGACGTATTAGGAGACCCCGTGGCTGGTTCTGAAAGTGGCTGTCCTCAGGCACGTACTGCCAAGTATATTTGATGCAATGTCATTCCCAGGGTTGTGGAGCCACAGAAAGCGAAGCCTGGGACCAAATCCCAGAAGGACGAGCTTAAATTGTAAACATGCATTTTTGTCATCACTGTTCAAGGCGAGGTACAGAGTAAAAGTTGCACTTTTGCTGGAAGCGGGTTGGAATGTGAAAGGTCGTATTCATGCCAGAATTAAGGAAAGTCTCCTGATTTGAATCATAGCCCTGCAGAGCATAAAACCAGGTGAAGTCGGCTCACGAATCAACATCATCAAACGACGGTTTAAACCGAGACACATGGGTCGGTATTGCTTGCTGCCGAAGATCGTAGACGGTCATGATTCCTTAACAAACGAGGTTTAAGAAGTAACCCTAAAAGGCTGAGTATAAAAACAAAAAACTCATCTCTATCAAGCAGACCTTGTTTTTTCCATCTTATCGTCGGCTGTTTGGGAGACTGATACACCCAACCTTTGACTGATTTCCTGACGGTTCTGTTGAGAACATAGGGTGGTCTGCACAGTTTGTGTCCGTCTCACAAATGGAGTGATTTCTTCAGTCGGATGGGACGGCCGTCACAGGCGGCAGTCTGAGCCCTGAGAATGACATGAACAAGCCGTCGAGAAGGACCACACCAAACCTGCGTGTTTTACAAACACATCAGAAGGTGGGCGGAAGAGGATGGGCACCCACGGCTGGTCTGGCAGATGGAGTAGGAGGTGGGAGCAGATATGACCTCTGACGCGCCCCCTGCTCAGAATAACCGTAAGCGACGTGACACGTGGGGCTTCACACTAATGGCTGTTGCCCTGTGCCTGTGGGCTAGAGGTGCGGTCCCATTTTTCAGGCCAAGTTCACATCTCCTGGATGGGGGAGAAATTTAAACCTATGTTTCTTTGTCTCCAAAGGCTCTTGAAGTGAGGACAAGGGTTCCTCTTGCAGAGAGCTGCCCGAGGGCTGGATGAGCTGCAACGGCAGCGGCCACGGGGGGAGAACGGCCGGCCCGCGGCCCGAGCACGGGGGCCTCGCGTTAGCGCTGCGGCGGCGGGAGCGTCATTACCGCGCACGCGGCCTCTCCGTCCTGCGACAGCTGCTCGTCAGTGCCTTGGCCAATGCCGATAGGTGACAATAGTAATTATGCCACCCAGGGGCCACCTCCATCTCGGGTGATTTAAGGAGGTGGAAGAGGGCAGGTTGGACAGTCGATTTACGTCATGGTCCTCTGTCACCTCCTGCTTCTGTCTGGGGTCCCTGAGCCTGCAGAGGATGCGTGGCAGGCCCTTGGGAGGGGCCTTCCCGTCGCTCCTGGGACGCACCCTCCAGATGTGTGTCTTCCTTCGGTGCCCTCCGGCCCCGATCCGGGCAGGCAGGGGGGCAGCTGTGTCTACTCTGCTCCCCGGCCCCCTAGCCTGCAGCCCTGGCCCCCAGCCTCCCAGACCTGGGCCTGGAGTGACCAGATGCTCACCTGACTCCCACTGAGAGAAACTGACCTACGTTTGTCCTATTTTATTAATACTGGGCTGATTATCATTGCTCTGCAAATGAATACTGCATAATCCATCAGTTCCCAGAGCAGCAGCTTTGGAAACAAGAAATTAGCCACAGAGGAGTCCTGCGTCCCACTGCATTCCCTGCTTTGCCTCGTGGGTGTGGACAGGTGTGACTCAGTCATGCACTGTCGTGTAACAAACCCATCTAGCCTTAGTCACGTTGAACAGTGATTTATTATCTCTCTTTGATTCTGTGGCTCTGTTGGGTTGTTCCTCTGCTGGTCTCACAGGGGTCGCCCTGTGGCTGCGTCTGAGCAGTGCTGGGTCTCTCTCTCCACGTGGCTCTGTCCCTCCAGGCTTCACGGTGTGGAAGCCTCAGGGCCGCCAGCCAAGAGAGGGGGGAAAAAACCAAAATGAAACCGCAAGCCTCTTGCACCTAGCGGCATTCCCATGCCATGCTGCTGGTCAGAGTCGCAAGGCCAGCCCCGACTCGGGGGAAGGCAGACGTGCCCACGTCTGCTCACGAGGCAAGCAAGCACGAGGGGCTTGTTCCCCGACTTAACACAAACTGCAGAATTACACATGATGTGAAAGTTACACGAACACTGGGGATGCAGGCACTAGACTTTCTGTGTAAGGTAAGGTTTATCTTGTTAAAGACGGTTCAGTGCAAATTCTCCACAGGGCCGACTCAGAAGCTTTCTCACGTGAGACACTGTAAGATCTAGGTTGTTCAAAGATGCGGATTTGACTGGCTGGGTCAGCCTGTAAGTAACCTCCTGTATGTTGGCAGCATCCACGTGGAATCATTCATTCACTCATGCCTGCAGGCGTTCATTCCTATATGTGTTTGAACACGCATTCCTATGTAAACCCTGAAGTAGCCACTGGAAGAGGGAGAAAGCCAGATTAATGGCATCTTTTCGAAACTTAACGTGTTACCACTGACGGTTATCTTTTTCTTCTCACCTGTGCTGATCCCGACAGGACCAACTTCTGTAATTTTTTCTTTTTTAAGTTTGTAGTCTTTTTTAAGTCAGTTACTTATTTTTTTTCCTTTAAGCAAGAGCTCTTTCTGTCCTTTCCAGGTAAGGCTCAATTAAGAAGTTGTAACTCTAGTGGGACCTAAGAGTCAAAATGCCTTCGGGCAGGCTCCACCTGCAGACACCCAGGGACGTCCGTCTTCATGAGCAGACACTTCAAGCAATATCAGAAACGGAGAGAAAGCCAAAGAAGTAGATGTTAATAAGCTGCCCAGCTGTGACGGTTTAGAAGCCAGAACGTCCAACAACAGCTCACACGAATCTTGGGCACTTTGGGATTTTCCATTCGTTATTTGTTCATCTATGCAGAAAATATGTATTGTGTTTTTAATGTACACTAGGCCTGTCCTAGGTGAGGGGTTTTTGCCATGAAAGACCAAAAAAAGCCAAGTTCTTGTCCTCATTTAAGTCAAGAGAAACAGCAAAAAAAGATGTGATTTGTCCAGTTGTGATAAAGAGCATGGAAACAAACAAACAAACAAACAAACAAAGGAGCACTCAGGAAGCTGAGGCAAATACGCCACCGTGATGAGGGGTGTTGAGGGTCGGGGAGTGCATATGTGTGGGTGGGGACGGCTATGTGCAAGCTCTCTATATTTTCTGTTCAATTCTGCTGTGAACCTGAAACTGTTCTAAAAAATTGTCTATTAATTAAAAAAATAAAAATTAAATTTAAATTTAAAAAATTTTTAAAAACCAGCCAAAGAGACTAGGGAGACGGGACGCTGGGGTGAGGGGGAAAAGCAAGATGGAATGTTGTCCCTTGGGTGGCAAGGATTTTGAGAAAGGAATGACAGTTGTATCAACGGCTGCTGAAGACAGAGGACGGGCCACTGTGTTTGGCAATGTGGCCATCGGTGACCCCGACACAAGCTCTTTCACGGAGAGATGCAGAGGGAAGCCAATTAGTTTGCATTCAAGGGAGATCGGCAGGAGGGGAGGAGGAGGCAGAGAATGTAGAGAACCCTCTTCTGGATGTTTTGCTGAAAGGGGTGCTGAGAAATGGGATGGTAATTGGAGGGAGATGGGGCCCCAGGAGATAATTGTATATAACAGGAAATATGGCGGCATGCTTGGTGCTGTTGGAAATGGCCCAACAGAGTGAACAAACGGGTGACATGCGATGAGAGGAGCGATTTCTGGAATGACGTTCTGCTCTAGAACAGATATAAAAGTTCCTGTCATTGATTTTTTGAGCATGTATATAAATACATAGGCATGTATTTAAAATTTTTGTTTAAATGCTACTTTATTTTTTAAGTTTTTAAATTTTTAAATTATTTTATTTTTTATTTTTTTGGGAGGGGAGGTAATTAGGTTTACTAGCTTATTTTTAGAGGAGGTACTGGGGGTGGAACCCAGGACCTTGTGTTTGCTAAGCATGCGCTTTGCCTCTTGAGCTATATGCTCCCTCCTTTATGCTACTTTAATAGCATGTTATATACATTTCAAAACATATGTAAAATTCTAACCAAATTTTTGGGAAAAAGTACATAAATCTTAGAGTCTGTATTTTCCTCCATACCATGTGGACACTTGCACTCATGTACTCCTTCCTTTGGGGTTCTTACCTTTAGACAAGGTCGTGGTTTGACACCAACTTATCAAAAAGCAGTTGGAAGGAAAGACCTTAGTCTTTTAGATTTGAGAATCTGAGTTTTCATTTATCTTGTTTTCTGTCCAGGGAACTGTTTTGACCATAAGCAATACCTTACACAGAGCCATGACTTTATAAATAACGCTCGAGGTGAGTTAGTTAAAAGGTTCTTCACATGCTCCTAGAGGTTATTTTTGTCACATGTAGTGTCACAAAATGCACAAAATACTCACAGAGGAGAACCACCACGTTCCAACTTTTATTTGTGGACGCTGGCTCGCCCTTTAACCACAGGCCACGCCCATGTCTCTCTGGAATCCGTGACTGAGGGACGGTGGGTACATTGTTTCCTAGGTAGTAACCGCAACTTTTTGCTACATTATAGGAAGAGTGAGAAGTGTGCCTATTTTCCCCTGTTGTCTCTGTGTTAAAAAAAAAAAATCTCAGTAGCCAGCTAATGGGCAAACTAAAAACGTGTCCCCAGGTTACAAAGTGTGAAGAGTCTAACGGACAGGCACTGGAGCTTTCTGCAGAAGACGCTGTCCCCCGGGAGGTGTTCTTGCTAATTAGGAGGCTGAAATTCCTGGCACAAAAAAACACTGTTCTGTGATTGGCTAATATAACACGATAAAACAGGGTGACCAGTTGAACCACGATGCACATGTTTGTGGTGGTCAGAGGAGCGCTTCCTGCAGATTCAGTGGTCCCAGTCGTACATGGATGTCTCCAGGTGTTTCAGAAAAACCCGTGGGTGCCATCATCCCGTTCATGGGTGCAGATCTCCTCCTCCAGAGACAGGATGCCTCTAAATCAGCCTCTCCGTCGCAGGGGGAGCCAGCACGCTCCACATCTCCACTCGAGAGCCGTCCTTTTCCTGACGGCTCGGGCTGTAGGACCCCTGGGTTGCCCGTTTGTTGGAGGCGATGATGGAAGCAACCACCGCCAGAGAGAGGACCACCACCAAGGCCAGCGTCACGGAACCGACGGCGGCGAAAACGTCCGCGAGCAAGTCATCTGCCAGCTGCAAGGACGGAGACAATTGTGATGTGAGTCACAGAGCAAAGGGGACCGTCCAGGACGAGGAGCTACCCCAGGGTGAAGGCCAAGCAGAGCACAGGTGACCCTCAATGCTGCAGAACGGCCAGGTGTGAAAGGAAGGGCAGTGTTCCTGTTCCCTAGCTCATGTGAACGTGACCACGTACCTAGCGTCTGAGGTCTGGGGTCAGACAGTGAGGCAGGAAACATCCACTGTGTTTCCCCTGTGTCTCGGTCTCGGTGACTGAGATCATTCGTGTGACCTCCAGACCAAAGGGAGAACCCACACGGATACTGGTAAAACAGTTCTGTGTCTATAGGGAACACGCTGTTCACCATCTCCTGCCTCCCTGCCGGAAGTTCTGATTTTGCATTGAAAGGATGGCTATTTTACAGCCTGTCTTGGGAAAGGAAGCAGATCAAATGAGTTGGGTCTCGTGGGGGACATGCTGGCACGCAGGGTGGGCCACCGTGTGCCGGTTTCCACGCCCATCCCTTTGATTTGGATTCATTGTGACAATTAAATGGTTGTAAAAGCACATGAGCTCGAGGTTGAGCCAAACCTCTAGAAACAGAAAACTGCGGGTAGATCCCCATGAGGAGGGCTGGGTCGTGGGCCTTAGACACAGGGGTGGGTTTAACGTGGATTCCAATGTGCTGGCCAAGCATGTTTTAGCCATGGGGAACATGAAACTGGTTTAGTTGCTCAGAAATATTTGATTTAGTTGCACAGAAATATTAAAGACGGGAAGCAGTTGCTTTTTGACTTTTTAACAGATTTTCAAAGAAACATCTCTGTCAGGGTAAGAAAAATCAGAAGGAAATTAGTTTACTTTCTTGTTCAGATGTCTCAATGACCCATCCCCCACGACCTAACCACACCAGTGGCATCTTTGCTTGCTTGCCATCCTGTGGAATTTTAAATACCTTGGTTCGCCTTGGTGGGTTTTTGTTGTTGACTGTGCTATGGTCTAAACCATCATGTAATTAATATAATCCTATCACACTGTATCTCTGCATAATTTTGTCCTGGCTGTGCTCATTATAAGCCTTGAACAAGTGTGGTTCATTAGTTTCTTCATTCATTCAACAATATTTACTGACCAGCTCCTATAAACATTTAAACGAGCTAGGAAATAGAAAGATAATCCAAAGTTTGAAACCTGGATCTCAGGTTGTGGGGATGGGAAAATCGAGGACACACACGTACACAAATAATCACACCACGCTATAAATGCGCGTTATGACGGCGCCATGGATGAACTGTGTTGGGCTGTAGCGGGACTCATATTGGAACGAGGCATGTGATTATTCTTTGAAGGATAAATGGGCATTCAAATATTTCAAGCAGGAAATTCTCCTTGGATGAAACAATCTGAAATAAAAAGAGCAAGAGTACACGAAAGTCCTTAGAATTTTGGGAAATGGTAAGAAATCCAGTGTGACTTAGAGTATTCTCCTTGAATGTGTGTGTGAATTGGGAAAGGATTTTTAAAAGTTGATAAGAGGTGGGACTATAAAGTAAATGAATCTCAACCAGAAATTTGAAAGACACAGGAAAATTCAGACTTGGTCCTGTGGTTGGTGGGAGCCCCTGAAGGGGTTAAGCCAGAGCGTGGTATGGTCGGGTCTGTGGTTTATTGCCTTGGCTCTGGTGACAGGGTGGCGGGTGGGCGAGAGTGAAGGTGGGGCTGGAGGCAGAGAAAACAGGCGCTGACCTTATTTGAAGTCATGATGCGGTGACCTGGGTCTAACTTTACCAAGAGAGTGAGACTTGAAGGGGAAGGTGGTTGAGAGAGACTTGCGAGGTAGCACCACTCGGCACAGAGGAAAGATGAGAATGGTCACCATGGAGGTGACCGTGTGGATAGGACGCACACACAGACACAGGTCTGTGTAGGATGAGTTTGGGTTGGGGAAAGCTAGCACCAGGTGCCTGGTGTCAGGTGTGATGACATTCAGGTGGGCGGTGCTATCAGGTAGAAGAAAGAACCACTCCCCGCGCTCCACTTTCACATTTCCATGAAAAGTTCTGGGTCACAACAGCTTTTCCAGTCACTGGAGAAAAGTTTATAACGCTTTCTAGAATCCAATACCTTTTCTAGAATAATTGGTTATCGCAACCAGCAGGCGAGTATTCCAGCCATCCTGTGTGGTACTGACATCCTTCATCAGAACAACAGCTTTGAGCTGGGAAGATGAGTGGGGCTGTAGACCTGACCTTGAAAGCACAAGGGTCTGGGACTCAGAGGGCAGATGGAATCCAACCCCCCGGTGTCAGCTAGGGACCTTAGATCTTGGAACCCTCTTGTTCCTAGATGCTGACGTCATCTTGATCTGCCCAGTGAACAGGGTCATCTTCCAGAGCACAGGCTGTTCTCCTGGATGAGTGAGGTGTGAGCATCCACACACATGGAGAAGAGAGAAGGCACTTGGTTTGCCTGTTGTCTGAACTTTTCTGGGCTCTTCTCATTCGGCCTGAGAATGACTCCCCAGGGGGAGCTAATCCCTCTGAGGCCCTCTCATCTGCTCCCCTGGCGCTGGAGATGGAGGGGACATCGTGCGTGAAGGTTGCTGAGTTCTCATTAGAACCCCACTCCTGGGTATATATCCAGGGGAAACTCTAATTTGAAAAGATCCATGCACCCCAGTGTTCACAGCAGCACTATTTACAGTAGCAAAGGCATGGAAGCAACCTAAGTGTCCATCAACAGATGACTGGATAAAGAAGTTGTGGTATATAAGTACAATAGGATACTACTCAGCCATAAAAAAGAATGAAATAATGCCAATGCAACATGGATGGACCTAGAAATTATCACACTAAATGAAGTCAGACAGAAAAAGACAACTACCATATAATATCACTTATATGTGGAACCTAAAAAAATGATACCAATAAACTTATTTACAAAATAGACAGCCTCACAGATACAGAAGGATACCAGGGCCGAAAGGGGGCATTAGGAGGGATAAATTGGGAGTTTGAGATTAGCAGATACACACTACTGTACATAAAATAGATAAACAGCAAGGACCTACTATATAGCACAGGGAAGTATATTCAATATCTTATAATAGCCTATAATGAAAAAGAATATGAAAAGGAATATATATATATATATATACACATATACACAGCTGAATCACTACACTGTGCACCAGAAATTAACACATGACAAACTGACTATACTTCAATAAAAAAATTGTTTTAAAGGAACTGCAGACCTGGCAGAAACAGGGCCAATTTCCTTCATGTGTCTGGGGACCTGGAGAGCCTGGGCTCTTGTCTCTGGAGGTGTCACTACTCTCAGCACCGCGGGGACCATGGAAGACCCAGCTCCAGGCCTGAGATGCCGCCCCCTCTGCCGCCCCAGCCGTGTGTGAGCAGGGGAGGCTCAGCCTGTCCCCCAGGGTCCTGGGTTTGACCCGTGGCTCTGCACATGCCCCCTGGGTGACACCAACAGGATCTTTTCTCTCCAGAGACTCAGGTTCATCACCTGTACAGCGGGATCCCAGCATCTGCTTCCCAGGATGGGAGGCAGCAGACACAGTGGATGCAAAGGCCAGAGAGAATGTCCCAGGGTAAGCGCTCCGCCCGCGAGTCATAGAGCCGCCGCCGTGAAGATGCCATGTGCCACTTCCCTGATGCTGCTGGCGCCTGAAGGATGAACCAGAACCGTCCCCCCACCCCCCCGATGCCTGGTGACATGCCGGCGGGAGCCAACCTACAAACCGAATATGGCGACTCCAAGCTTCGGCTGAGATGTTTGATGCCACGGCTCGCCTGACTCCATCCAACAGGGCCCGCCCTCCAGCGGGGTGAGTCGGGCTTTGCAGTCGCCTCTGGAGGGCCCTTTGGTTCTGAATCCCCATGGCTGAAGGCCCTCTTGGGCGCTGCTATTCTCAGCCAGGCTTCAAATGCACAGCCCAGGACGGAGCATCTCATAGTGCATGCGGCTGTGACTCAGGCACAGAGAGGGGCCGACTGCGGCCGTCCTGAGAACAGCGTGAGTTTAAGGCCAGGGCTGTTCCAAGGCTGTGCTTCTGAATCTCCTTCTCCTGAAAACATTTCCTCCCAATTCATGAAAATTTCATGTAAAATTGCCTTTAATAGCTTATGTAGCAATCTGCGTTGTTTTGTTAGTATCTTGTTTAAATGTAATTTTTATACATGATTCAGTTAAGCTGTGATGACTTTGAACTCTCTATCTGCAGAATAAAATAAATAGACACTTCTATTTTTTTTTTTTTGCATAGAGGAGTCGTCCTGAGACAGACTGGCTGTGGCTTGTGTGTGACCCAGGGCCAGGGGCGCGCCGGTATTCCGAGATGAGACTCTCATGACTTGTTTTGAACCGTCTTACCTGAGACTATGCTGGAACGTGCTTTTTTGTTTTTGCTTTTTTAATAGGGGTTTGGGGTATTTTTTGTTGTTTCCTTTTTTTCCAGTTTATTGAAATACGATTGACAACATTGCACGTGCGGGTTGTACAGCATGAAGATGTCTTTCAGCTATCTGAACTGTTAATTTAAGACACGTAGACGCCGTGAATGATGATCACAATCAGGTTAATTAACGAGCCCATCACCTCACAGAGTTACTATCTGTGTGTGTGTGTGTCTATGTGTAACACGCACATCGTGTCACACAAGTAGCCATGTTAAAAGCATTATGTACTTACTATTGTGAGCTTTAGTGATTAATGAAAAGACACTTGAAAGATGTGTTTCTACAAGGCCGGTTTTAATATTTACCTTCTATCTGTGTATCTAAAGCAAAGTGAGGACATTGCTAACTCTCATCCTTCAAGTTAAAAAAAGGAGAGAGAGAGAGAGCCAGAGCTGACCTTGTGAATTCCTCCTGCAACAAGCAGATCTTCAGTCCGGCGGAGGGTAAAAACCTCCCACACAGACCTGGGTCCTTGAACTGTATCTTATCAGCGACTTGCTAGAAACAGCCGTTTCCATAGTGATCCTGGACAT